CTAAAGAAGAACCCATCCAAAAGACCTACTTATTTTTTCTTTTTGATTTTTTCTACCTGGATAACTGAGATGCATCAGGACGTCCCAAATTTTAGCTAAATATAGGTTTCCCGACAATAAAATGCTTATCTGACAAAAAGAATTATTGCTTTTTACAGCACAAATATTGATGTAAGAGGCACAAGCTTATGGTAAAAATATACATTTAAATTTTTTGGCTCACATTTTCAATGTGTCCTCCGTACTTTAGCTTACTTATTGGTTAGCTTGTTCATTTGTATGTATGAGACAAAATCTAATTATCTGAGCACCAAACCTTTTCTACTCATCATTGGGTGATCTTTTGGCAGCAGCCAACTTGAAAGCAGACTGTCGCAGGTTTGATAACCTACCTTGCCCACATGTCAGGGTGTCTTTGAGCAAGACATTTACTCCCTAAGTGCTCACGGACACTTGTATAGCTGCCCAYGGCTCCACTTGGGTGTCTCTTACATGTGATGGGTTTAATGCAGAGCACAAATTTTGACATTGTATGGGAATTAGCAATGGTGACAATACACATTRCATTCTAATAATTAGCTCACAATTTCCATTTCAAGGACTTTGTATGCTATCCATGGGATTATGATTATTTTATTTTTCAGCAACTTTGTCTGTGTCCTAAAGCTAAGAGTTCTCCCCAGTGGGTTTTAATCTTCAACATAACTCAACCTTGTTGTATTTTGTGACTTTACAAGACAAAATAATTATTTCTGATAATCATCACTTATATTAGCTAACCCACAAAATGTGAAAAACTATAAATTTCAACAAACACAAATTTAAAGCAAAATACTTGATATCTTTAGTAGCATATGGCCCAGTCTTGTGGCTAATATTTTTAGCTTTTTTATTTTCTAAAGCTACTTCATTCTTTAGAACACGTGTCAAACACAAGGCCCGCGGGCCACTCCTGTGTGGCCCACCAGGTACCTCCCCCAAAAAAATTTTTTTTCTTAACATGAAATTTAATACTTGTAATATTTCTGCGGCGGACCATTCTG